CTCCGTCCTGGGCCACCGCGGAGCAGAGATGCTTCTCATCACCAACAACCCCTACGACTACAGCTACGTCTCCCAAGGAGAGGTGACCGTGGCCTCCATCGACGACTCGGAAGAGGGGCGGGCAGGTGGACATCCCATGGCTGAGGAGAAGGTGAAGTGCCGGGCGGACGGCTGGAGGCGGTAGAGGACGGACGGAGGAGAGGACGAAGGCGGGGCCGAGAGGGGGATGATGGGAAGGGCGGAGGGATAGGGAGGAGGCGGGCGGGCGGAGCGGGACGAGGCGGGGTGAGGGACAGGAGGTAGGACACGAGGAGGAGGAGGAGGAGGAGGAGGAGTTCGTGCGCGGAGGTAGGGACGGACGGGCGAGTCCGTGGACGGGACAAGTCCTCAGGTGGATGGATGGAACCAGGGGTAGATGAGGCCACGGATGAGAGTCCTCAGAAGGATGCCCGGACGGGGCGGGGCGGAGGCCACGGAAGGACGGACGAGGCCACGGACGGACGGACGAGGCCTCGGACGGATACGAGTCCTCGGGCGGACGGACGGGCCGAAGATGAGGAAGGGCGAGACGGTGGCCAGCGGAAGGGACGCGCCCTCAGCTGGGCGGTGGGGGTGGCAGGGCCCTCTCCGGGGAGGACCCCGACCCACATCCGCCCGCCCCACAGAGCGCTTTCGACGTCCTGGGCTTCACCGCCGAGGAGAAGGCCGGCGTCTACAAGCTGACGGGCGCCATCATGCACTTCGGCAACATGAAGTTCAAGCAGAAGCAACGGGAGGAGCAGGCGGAGCCGGACGGCACCGAAGGCGGGTCGAGGGGGGGACGGGACACACGACAGGTTTTGGGGTCACCGGGCTCCCTCCAAGCCCGGGGCGAGGTGGAACCTGACCAGGTGTCTCCTCCACGCTCCGCAGATGCCGACAAGTCGGCCTACCTGATGGGGCTGAACTCGGCCGATCTTCTCAAGGGGTTGTGCCACCCCCGGGTGAAGGTGGGCAACGAGTACGTCACCAAGGGGCAGAACGTCCAGCAGGTGAGGAGGGCGTCCCCGAACCCTCCTCCTTTTGGGGTGGCACGCTGCCACGCCGGGCAAGGAGGACGTCGAGAGCCCCCGTCTCACCGGCGGGCCGGCCCCCTTCCAGGTGATTTACGCCGTCGGGGCCTTGGCCAAGGCCGTCTACGAGAAGATGTTCAACTGGATGGTGACCAGGATCAACAACTCGCTGGAGACCAAGCAGCCGCGGCAGTACTTCATCGGCGTGCTGGACATCGCCGGCTTCGAGATCTTCGACGTGAGGCCCCCGGTTGACCCCGTCGTGTTGACCTCGTTGGGTGTTGAGCTGGCCCCCGCTGACCTCACTGGGCGTTGCATTGACCCCGCTGGGCGTTCAGTTGACCCTACTGGACGTTCGGTTCACCCTGTTGATCCCATTGGGTGTTGGGTT